GATTTTAAGAACCCCGGGGTGGATATCTTGCCTTGTGTCTTAAGAAGACTCCCATTTTATCAAGCTCACTTGAAGACTTGGAGATCCACTACAAGGAGATTTTCTACTACAAGGAGCAAGAGCTAGGGGTTATTCGATCTTCCATCGAATCACGCTACGAAAGTATGACTTTCTAACTCTTGTATGCTCACTTAATAATAAGGATCATGTTAGATTTAATTAGACGATCCATATGAATATTTCATGCTCTCTACATGCTTAGTATTTTTGTACATACATGTCTTCCGCTGTGTATTATGCATGTAGACATAGCACGATTTCCTTCATGGTATCAGAGCTATGGTTCTATCTAATTGAATCTTAACATGTACATCTAACTCATGGAGGACCTTGTTCTTGCTTCTAATTTCTAGTTTACATGAAACTAGTTAATTAATTCAAGTTATTTTATAAAATAATTAATTACAACTACTGTAGTTGTATGTTAGAAGCTTGTTGGTCTTTTTTGAGTTTGGATAATCCTTATGCTATCTAGTTTCCAATATGTTGCATAACTAGATAGATGCATATTTCTTAATGTTGATTAAGTTATATGATTTATCATCTTGCATGGATGTTATGTTTATGGATGGTAGTGGACAACTATTCTCTTGTATGTTTTGTATTGATGTAATAAAGTTAGAAATGTAATAATTATTTACGACCTCTTCCCTCCCCGAGCATGGGCTACGCCTACGGGTTTAGGCACTTGCTCACCGATCATGGGCTACGCCTACGGGTATAGGCCCTTGTTCGGGTGTGGGGGGGTATGGTTGCTTAGTTTAGTTATTTCATTTATAGCTTTTGCTTTACATTTAATGCAATATTATTACCCATCCTACGAGATGGTTTTTCCATTATAAATGGGGCTTGCACGTCCTATGTTTATATGATTGTAATAATACAGAGTTTGCAAGGGAACAAGCACCGCAAGGAGTTGCATATGGCTTGCTAAAATGTAATTAGTGTAGTTGCATTTTATTTTCTTTAGTTGTCCACTACCATTCTATATAAGTTTTACATTACATATGTTGATATGTTGGTTGTGCCCCAAATTGTAGATGTCAATACAATTGGGTGCTATTTTTTGCAAAGTTTATATCTCTATCTCACTAGAGAATAGTTTTTATTATAAAAACTTATTTTTTAAAACTTTGTGAGACATGGCAATAAGAGTTTATTGACCATAGAGTGGTGAGATCGACATTAACATAGTGTTAGTGTGAAAGATAAATAAACCTAAAGCAGTTAAAAGAGATGTATTTAGAATGAGCTTTTAACTAGTGTCAAGGAAAGTAATTATGAGATATAGCTCATGGGGTGATGCCCAACTTAAGATTAGGGGTGATGCCCAATCTTTCGCGCTATAGTCTTAAAGAGAAGTGGTTACTTAATTAAGGTCCGATAAATATTCCCGGTGAATAGCTCGGAACCCTCCCACCAATCTTGCGCTTTCCTGGCTAGTTTAATTGTTGCAAGTATAAATATAGAGCATCTTTAAACTATATCAAGTTCGATTACGGTAAAAGATTTGAGAAATCGTCCGTAGCCCTCCATCATTTTAGTTAAATACTATTAAGCTTATAAATACTATGTTTGTTGGCATACGTCAAGGCATAACTATTCTATGGCTAAATAGTATTCATCTGTATATAAGATATAAGGATAGCTTAAGTTGGTTATGCAACTTTGTTGGCATACGTCAAGAGTTTGCATAAGTTAAATTTAAGCCAGTCAAGAAATGATGGGTACAAACTTGACTAGCATTTTATGATTTGTTGGCATACGTCAAGGTCATAAAAGACTAGGGGTAAAATCATATCAAGAATTACAAGAGTGTAAAAGACAAAAGTTGTCTACCAATTATTGAATGTGTTAATTTGTTGACATACGCCAAGGTTGATGCATTCAATGATAATTGGATCTTGATCCCACTTGAAAACAATGAGTTGTTTTCCGATCACCTATTATAAGGTTTTGAGGGACTCGAAAAATAGTGGGAGGCATAACTTAGATAAAAATAAACCAAATCTATTTTATGTATTGAACATCTGCTAAAATACCTTTTCTCTCTCTTTCAGGCCATTATGTCTGGTTTAAAACTCATATTGGAACAGAACAAGTTAACCGGTCCTAATTACAAAGACTGGTTGAGGAATGTTAAAATTGCCCTAACTTATGACAAAGTAGCATATGTCCTCACTGCGCCCGAACCTGTTCTAGGCCTAGAACCCACTATAGCGGAAACTGAAATCCGCAATACATGGGATAAAGATTGTTCACTTGCTCAATGCCTCACCATTGCCTCTATGGATTTGGTCCATCAGAGACAACATGAGAATATGGATATCAGATCCATATTTCGTAATACAGAAGAACTGTATGGCGAGCAACCGCGACAAATGAAGTACGCGGCGTCTAGGAATCTGTTCCAGACGAAAATGACTGTGGGATCTTCTGTTGGGGATCATGTCCTCAAAATGATCGCCTATGTCAATGAGCTTGAACTTTTGAACGTAGGCCTAGATGCAGATAGATATACAGATATCATTCTGCAGTCCTTGACACCAGCATACTCCCGATTCATATCACAGTTTTTGATGATGGATCTGGAGCCCACTCTTCCTGCCTTGCTTAATTTGTTAAGACAGGAAGAAAGTTCTTTGAAAAAGGGACAAACACCAGTCTTGGCTATAGGGCAATCTTCTTCCTCTTCTGGCAAATTGGTTGCTAAGAAAAAAGGAATGAAGAAAACTACTAAACCAAGGAAAGGTGTTAAGAAGGCTGTCAAGAAGGATAAAGGAAAGGCAAAAATGATGACAGCAGAATGCTTCCATTGTCATAAGTCAGGACATTGGAAAAGGAACTGCCCAGAATACCTAGCCTCACTCACCAAGAATAAGCAAGTTGTTGCTTCATCTACAGGTGTGTTTGTTACTCAGAATTGTTTTTCTATAAATCATACATCCTGGGTATTAGATACCGGATCAGGATCTCACATCTGTAATTTGTTACAGGGACTTAAAAGTTATAGAAAACTTGGAGCTGGAGAGATGACTATGCAAGTTGGTAATGGTGCAATAGTTGCAGCACTTGCAGTAGGGGATTTTCATCTAGCTTTACCAAATGGAAACGTTTTGATTTTAAATAGCTGCTATTTTGTACCAACTATGATGTGTAATATAATATCCATATCTTTATTAGATAAAGATGGATATGTATTTAAGTTGGAGAACAATGTTATGAATATCATATTTAATCAAAAGTTGATTGCTTATGGAACATTGTGCAATGGCATCTATATTCTTAATCAAAATACAATTCTGAACACTTATCACACTAATAAAAGAAAGCACTCAGTTATGAATGACGCTTTCTTATGGCATTGCAGACTTGGTCACATTAATAAAGAAAGACTTGGCGAGCTTCATAAGCATGGATATTTAGATCCATTTGACTTTGAGTCTTATGAGACTTGCAAGTCTTGTCTTAAAGGTAAAATGACCAAGACTCCATTTACAGGAACTGGAGTAAGAGTTACAGAACTCTTAGGACTGATACATAGTGATGTATGTGGTCCTATGTCTACAATGGCCAGAGGTGGCTACTCCTACTTTATTACTTTTACTGATGATTTTTCAAGGTTTGGACATGTGTTTTTGATGAAACACAAATCTGAAGCACTTGAGAAATTTATCGAGTACAAAAATGAAGTAGAGAACCAAACGGGCAAGAAAGTTAAAATTCTTCGATCGGATCGAGGAGGTGAATACTTGAGCTCGGAATTCTTAGGTATTTTAAAAGAGAATGGGATTCTCTCTCAGGTTACTCCACCCTTTACACCACAGCTTAACGGCGTGTCAGAAAGAAGGAATCGTACCCTATTAGATATGGTACGTTCCATGATGAGTAACACTGAGTTACCTTTTTCATTCTGGGGGTATGCATTAGAAACAGCAACACACTTACTGAATAGGGTTCCAACTAAAGCAGTGCCTAAACCTCCATATGAGATATGGAGTGGGAAGAAACCACATCTTAATTATATTAAGATTTGGGGATGTCATGCTTATGTAAAGAAGCAAGATCCCAAAAAGTTAGAGGCACGCTCAGTATTATGCAAATTTGTAGGATATCCAAGGAATTCCATTGGATATCAATTCTACCACATCGATGAACAAAAGATAATTGTTTCTCGGCATGCCACCTTCTTAGAGAAGGAATTTCTTGAAAAAGAAATTAGTGGGAGCATGGTAGAACTGGAAGAAATTTCAGAGATACAAAATATTACTGATAAATTAGTGGAACCAGCAAATTCAGTTATACCAGAAGAACCTCAACCACTCCACAGATATCCAAGGCGATCTCATGCACCTAAGACACAATATAATTTTTTAGTTGAAGGTGGCATGTTAGATCACGTCATAGATGATGACGAACCTTTAAGTTATCAGCAAGCCTCTGAGAGTAGGGACTCTGTTGCTTGGCATGATGCAATGAAATCTGAAATAGACTCTATGTACACCAACAAAGTATGGATATTAGACAATGCTCCTAAAGGGGTGATACCCATAGGTTGCAAATGGTTGTTTAAGAAAAAGTTGGGTGTAGATGGAAAAGTAGAGACTTTTAAAGCTAGACTGGTAGCTAAAGGTTTTCGTCAAAGACCTGGTTTGGACTACGATGAAACTTTTTCTCCAGTGGCTATGCTCAAGTCTATTCGGATCCTACTTGCTATAGCTGCTCACTATGACTATGAGATCTGGCAAATGGACGTTAAAACTGCATTTCTAAATGGTGATTTAGAAGAGTGCATATATATGACGCAACCAGAGGGTTTTGTAGTTAGTGGGAGCAGTGGAAAAGCATGTAGATTGCTTAAATCTATTTATGGACTGAAGCAAGCATCACGGAGATGGAACATCTGTTTTGATGATGCTATCAAAGAGTTTGGTTTCATCAAAAATCCAGATGAACCATGTGTGTATAAAAGGATAATTGGGAGTATTATATCGTTTCTTATTTTATATGTAGACGATATACTCTTAATCGGTAATGACATACCGTCATTACAAGCGGTTAAAATTTGGCTATCAAAAAGATTTTCCATGAAAGATTTAGGTGAAGCATCCTGTATACTGGGTATTCAGATCTATAGAGATAGATCTAAAAGGATGTTAGGATTATCGCAATCTAGATACATTGGCAAAGTGCTAAAACGGTTTAGCATGGAAAATTCCAAGAAAGGTTTTGTACCTGCATCTCCTGGAATCTCCCTCTCTAAAAAGATGTCTCCCCGGACTGATGAAGAGAGGAAACGCATGAGTCTAATTCCTTATGCCTCGGCAGTAGGATCGATCATGTATGCCATGTTATGTACTAGACCAGATATCGCTTATTCACTCAGTTTGGTAAGTAGATACCAATCTGATCATGGAGAAGAGCACTGGAAAGCGGTCAAGAATATACTTAAGTACCTTAAAAGGACTAAAGAGTTATTTTTGATATACGGTAAAAGTGACCTCCGAATGGAGGCTTTTTCCGACTCAAGCTTTCAGAGCGATATCGATGATAGTAAGTCTGTATCAGGATATGTTTTCACCCTCAATAGAGGAGCTGTCAGCTGGAAAAGTTCCAAGCAGGATACAGTAGCAGACTCGACTATGGAAGCTGAATACATTGCAGCTAATGATGCAGCTAAAGAAGCTGTCTGGATGAGGAAGTTCCTTTTAGAGCTGGAAGTTGTTCCCACCATTAAAGATCCAGTACCTTTATACTGTGATAATAATGCTGCAATAGCTCTAACAAAGGAACCCCGATCTCACCATAAGTCCAGACACATTCTGAGGAAGTATCACTTGATCAGGGAGATAGTTGATCGCCGGGAGATCAAGATTGAAAGAGTAGACACAAAAGATAATATAGCAGATCCATTCACAAAGGCAATTGCTCGTTCACAATTTGAGAAACTTGTTGAGCTATTGGGTATTAGATACTATAATTGGCCTTAGTGCAAGTGGGAGTTTGTTAGATATAGGTGCCCTGCAGGCAATTATTGTATATTGTAACAGGACCTATATGTATATAACATCCTTGTTCAAAATGATAGTATGCTATTTTGGTCAGATTTATCTGATGTTCTAAATATACAGATAATGTCCTTAGAATAAATACTAGACTATCAGACATTTCGGATAGTGATCGTAATGAAGAGATCTGATTAGTCGGTAACGTATATTCTAAAATGTTCCTAGTTGATGAAGTGTTGAGATAGGACATCATCACTTTGGTTTAGACTAGTGTATGCTTTATTTCTCCTTTTGAAGGAGATGATCAATCTCTTAGATCATTGATGTGAGACATCAAGATACAGTATACAGGTGACTCATTAGTGAATGAGTTGACTGAACGACTCGCCGAGAACATCTAGTTGGTAATATACTTAACTGTCAAATAGAAGTTCTCAAGTGATATAGTACATAGTAGTCTCTTGACCTGAGGCATGAGTGCAATATCTTATATGTCAGTAAAGATGTATTTAGACTTTTACCTAACCACAGTTCTTATTGAATTGTGCATAACGGTTCTTGTTGGGTACATCCCGAGACATAAGTAGATATTGAGATGCCAAGAAGGGATTCGTCTCTCCCAGTATAGGGGTTGATGTCATAAGATTGTTTGATATAACTATAGCCTGGAAATCCTTGGCCAAGGTGAATAAGATAAACTGAGTGTCAGTTTGATCTTATAGGTTATGAGTTTAATATCAATAAACACTAATCAAGCTATTAGGGTTTGACAGTTTGCCATACCCTAGGCTCAATAGTTTGACATGGTTTGACGAAGAGACCGGACTGTACGGTATTATCATTGAGTGGTCCTGATAAAATTGGATAAGCATCTTGCAGACCTTTATCACAACTTATACCCGGGTGGTCTTCATGTGTAGCTAGCACCTCTGTTGTACTTATGGATATGATCCACTACCGAGTTTTTTAAGTTGGGCCCTAGAGTCACACCAAGCGCGTACTTGAATCCTATGAAACACAATTTATGGAGTGATGCGTATGATTGATACGCATATATGATTTCTTCCGGATACACATAAACGGTTATGTATATCGGTAAAATCGGAATGCTATGTGCTTAGGAAATGAATTCCAGTATTTTTCCCATAAAGTTAACTTTTAGTCAACTAGTTGACTTTTTGGTCAACAGTTGACTTTTGGTCAACTCTTGATTTATTTGGTCATATAGTGACTAATTAGTTAAAGATTGGAATAATACTATATACCGTATTTATGAAATACTGTATTAGTGATAATAATTTGGTATTCTCATTTATGAAATACACATACCATGTATAATGAGTCATGAGATGAGTCACTTAGTGGTATGGTTTGAGCACATGGTTTATTAGCACATGGTTTTGAAATGTAATGATTCATAAGATGATTCATTGCATGACTCACTTGATTAATCATTAATTTTTGATGATTCATTGCATGACTCATAGGATGAGTCATTCATATCATGAACACATTTCACTCTATAAATATGAGCTCTTTTTCTTATGGAAAGGTTAATGAAAAATTGGCTAAGTGTTTTTTTCCATAAGAGAATAAAAGAGACCTCTCCTCTTACTAAACTTTAGCAATCTTTGAGCAAGAGGAAGTAGTAGGATTTTAAGAACCCCGGGGTGGATATCTTGCCTTATGTTTTAAGAAGACTCCTATTTTATCAAGCTCACTTGAAGACTTGGAGATCCACTACAAGGAGATTTTCTACTACAAGGAGCAAGAGCTAGGGGTTATTCGATCTTCCATCGAATCACGCTACGAAAGTATGACTTTCTAACTCTTGTATGCTCACTTAATAATAAGGATCATGTTAGATTTAATTAGACGATCCATATGAATATTTCATGCTCTCTACATGCTTAGTATTTTTGTACATACATGTCTTCCGCTGTGTATTATGCATGTAGACATAGCACGATTTCCTTCAGCTTGAATAGGTAGTCCATTCTGAATGGTGATGCGATGAGGCTAGTGAGCCATATTTATAGGATGCCTGAAGAGGTAGTCCATTCCGCGTGGTGATGTGACGAGGCTAATGAGTCGTACCTATAGGATACTTGAATAGGTAGTCCATTACGCATGATTTTGCGATGAGGCTAGTAGGCAGTATTTACTTAGGATGATTGAACAGGTAGTTCATTTCGCATAGTGATGCGATGATATCATAGAACTTTGCAAGAGATAGCATTGTGAAATGTATGACAGTTGAGTCATAAGCAGGAGATCGTTCATGTAAATGGTTCACCACTGAGTTATATTGTGATGGGCTATATGGTATTGTGGATTACACAGGATTATGTACTGATATTCGTATTAACTACCCAAGAGTAGTATAAGGTAATAGGTTGACATATATGACTTGGTTTTGGTTGACATTTTAGTATTGTAGGGTATTATGAGGTATTAGGTTGACATATATGACTTAGTTTGGTTGACATTTTAGTATTAGGGTATTATGAGGTATTAGGTTGACATATATGACTTAGTTTGGTTGACATTTTAGTATTACATTCCTTTATTCTTTTATTCTTAGTTTTGGAGTTAATATTTATCAATTCACAATTTGAGACATATGGGATATACATGAGGGTTTTCTTATTTGGATTATTTCGCTCGACGTACCAGTCTCGTGTTGTGGATTTCTAATTATTAACCTCATCTAGTACATGGTAAATGATTTAGGTAGACTATGCATATATATATAGAGCCTCCATCATATGTAGCAGCCCTTCTCCTTGGGGCGGATGGAAATGACATTGCTAGTGCTCTGACGATGGTGAAACATGTTATTACACTGTGTGAGTGCATGACAGGTTTGATATCTCTGGATTCACCTTAGACTGCAGCCTCGTGTAGGCTGTCTAAAAATTACTACAGATAGCAGATTTCCATCAAACATCAATGATGGAAGTTACAAGTTTATGGCTTTCAGAAGGCTATAATTGGAAAATTTTCACGTAGATCGATGAAGGTTACAATTTAATGACCTTCACAACAACCGATGAAAGCTCTACTTTAATAGCCTTCACAATCAACATCGGGAGTTACAATTTGACGGCTCTCATATTTTTAAGGAGCCAAGACAAATGTTACAAAATGATGATCTTTGCAACGCTCTAGCAAAAGAGACTATAAAAATTAACGGTCTTTTCAAATCAAAATGCAGATATCTCTCAAACCGTAAGGAATTTTGCAAAATGAAAAGGAGAAAGCCAAACCCTATAGGGTAGGTTTGGTTGGCTCCGTCTCTGTAATACCCCAACCCTTGAGAGGGTGATGTGATTAGTATTGATAGATTTGATTGGAATACTCATATCACCAAGATGCATCTTCTTTTCGGAACCTAACTCTTAGAAACTCCAAAGTTAAGCGTGCTTGGCCTGGAGAAATTCTAGGATGGGTGACCCCCTGGGAAGTTTTTCAGGGAGCGCGTGAGTGAGGACAAAACGTGCTGAAAAGACATGTGGTGGTTTGTGAGGCTAGTCCATCAGATCTAATAGCGTACCGACTCTGGGATTCCGGGGCGGGGCGTTACAAATGGTATCAGAGCAAAACCAACCGGAATTATGAGAGCTAAGTACTATGCGGCGCAAAGTGCTACGTCGAGAGGGCGGGAGCCACCTCTTGAGGTCGTAGGAGCCACCTCTAGAATCTCACACGGATGGTACGGTCTTGGATGATATGATTTGGCACAACGAGGACGTTGTGAGTTTAAGTGGGGGAGTATGTAATACCCCAACCCTTGAGAGGGTGATGTGATTAGAATTAATAGAATTAATTGGAATACTCATACCACAAAGATGCATCTTCTTTTCGGAAACCCAATTCTTAGAAACTCCAAAGTTAAGCGTGCTTGGCCTGGAGAAATTCTAGGATGGGTGACCCCCTGGGAAGTTTTTCAGGGAGCACGTGAGTGAGGACAAAACGTGCTGAAAAGACATGTGGTGGTTTGTGAGGCCAGTCCATCAGATCTAATAGCGTACCGACTCCGGGATTCTAGGGCGGGGCGTTATAGTCTCATCAACATAGTTGATTTTTATATATAATTTGTCCAATTCCTATTTACGGTTTGAAAGTTATGACCTGTTCTTCTCAGCAAGTTATGTTCTGAAGTTCGTCTGCAAGACTAGACTTCACGTGAACATTGGACTTAGCCTGAAGCTCGCCAAACCTGCCTGAGGCTCACCTCTGCATTCCAGAGTAAAAATACAGAGTTCATCTCTGTGACAAAACACGGAGTTCGTAGACTCAAAACATAGAGTTTATGCAGAGCCAAACTCTGCGTTCTAGGTGCAGAACGCAGAGTTTATTTCTGCGTCTCAGACTCATAACACTATGCGAACATGGCGATTTTAGCCTTAAACAGGCTCAACTCTGCGTTTCAGGTCTAAAACACAGAGTTCGGGCCTGAAACGTCTTTTTTAGCGTTTGACTCATTTAAACATAAGCTAAACGGTTTCAAAACCGTTTTCCTCATGATTTGGGGAGCGGTTTAAGGGGTTGTTACACCCGATTAATGGGACAATTAAGCCTCCATTAAGGAGATGATTAAGAGGCGGTTACACCCCTTAATCTCCTATAAATACTAAAAACTCAATTGAGTTTGGGTATCGGACTTTTTGCATAAAAAAAGATCACAAAAGGAGAGATCG